TGCTAATTTTTAATTAAATTAAGTTAAAACAATTAATTTAAATTTCTTTATTGAAACATTTTGAATTTGGCTTTGAAATATCTTTATATCAAAAGTCTTACAATTGATCATATAAGTACCAATTAAAATTCTGTTGTTCTTTTTTGATGTTTTTGATTTCAAAGATGTTAAAGTTATGTTTATTACTTTTTCATATGACAACCAATTGCTACGTATTTACTAATGTCCATGCCATATGCTTAATTTAGATAGAAATTCATTAAATGGCATGTGCTTTTTTTATGAGCATTTAATTTATTTAATTTTAAACCTTTGTTTTAGTTTAATGATTTGAAGTATGCAAATAAACTTTCAAGGAAACATATCGAGTTTGATTGTCACAAAATAAATATGCAAGTGGAAAATAAATGAAGCTAGTTAGATAAAAAAATAAATGAATTTTATTTCCAAATTCTCGTTAAATACACCTAGAAATTTACGACTAAAGACTTTAGTAAATTGCTAAGACAGACAATAAACGAATTAGTTACTATTATTCGAGGGTTTATAAATGTAATTTTTTTATATAAAATATTAAAGTATATTACATTGTTTTTGTTTAAAGTCCTAAATGCAAATATATTTAAAAATATGTTTTTAAAATTTGTGGCTATAAAAACAGCTGTTTGTTTTACTTTTTCAGCTAATACAATCCTCTTTGACCAAAACAAATTTATTATAAATTTTTTTTGGTTGTAGACCACCAAATTTATCATCTCTGAACTAATCATCTTTAATTCCAACCTTGATTTAGACTTTAAAATTGCGAATCTTCCTTTACTTGATAAGAATCGCTGAAAGTTTTTGCCCGATATAATAATGGCTTCTAGCGGATTATGTAATATTAAAATGGCTTCACTAAAAAAGGCGAAGTTTGATATCTAAATAAATCTATATACCATTGGAATTTTCTCAAATTATCTTGGTGCGAAAGAATAAAAAGAATATTCGTGAACACTAAATTATTGCCAAATCTATGAACAAACTAATTCTATTGGTTCAAAAAATAAGCAAAATAAAGTTCTAGAGTATTCTGTTAAAATGCTTTAGAAATTGTACTATTCACGATTTGTAACGTTTTGAGATTTCTAGCATAAATTGTTTTAAAAATATATTATCAAACAAACTTTAATACTATGGCTCATTCTCGGAGCCATATCCGCAAAACCGCAAAGCCATTTACTAAACATCATCAGCGATATTGTAAAGCAATTTGGCTTCCTCGTCATAAAGTATTTTTAGCCTTTTTAGTTGATTTCTATCTAGTTAATTTAATTTCTATAGTAATTCAGTGATTTAATAGTTTCATTTGTTCATCTTACTAAGAAGAATTGTTTCAAATATGTTAAACTTTTCAAACTACGCAAAGCATAAAGTGACTATTAAAAAAATTAACTTTTTTATTTATAAAATAATTCAGCTTAGATAAAACTAAAAGTTGCTTTAGTTTTATTAGAATCTTGTTAGACTTTTCGGGGCCAGGGACTATTTTTATTTTGGTTGCCTTTTTATGTGCCACAGTGTAAAAATGGCTAAACAAAAAGGTCTTCAGGAACTTTTTGGGGCCCTCACATTGTGGGGCCTGGGGCTGTAACCCTCTCTAATCCCAACCCTCCTTAATCTAGCACTGGACATAAGACACGAGTACATAAAGATTACATTCACACTCTTTGTTAAATAAAGAACATTTATTTTCTTTTAAACAATCGTAAGGTGTTACTTTATATATAAAACATCGCTTAATTTTATAAAAAAAATTATAAAAGAACGATGTTTCGAAAATATTTGTTCTAAACTATTTATTTTGCTTAATGTTTTTCCACGTTAAAAGATATTTTATTTTCCTAATTTTTTTTTTTTTGTAATTGTCTTTCATCGGTCTAATTAATCCTTTGCGCATTTTTTTTTTGCTTTTTGAAATGTTCTCAAAATGACTAAAAAATTTGGCTAATTTTTCGCAACTAAATATTATTTCCGTGGTCAGTAATTGAGAGCGTTCACTCCCACTTCCTGACCAAGCCTGATCAAAGAACTTTGATGATTGCAGTATTCTTTCAAATATAGTTCGGCAAAGTTTAGCTATAGTTCTTAAACACCAAAAAGGGTTTGGAGGAAGAAACAATGATCAATTACCTGATGAGTATTACGTTTTTAATCAAGTCGTTGGAGTCAATAAAACAATTACAAATAATATTGAACTTGAGTGTCAGTAAGGAACTCATAGCAAAAAACCCGACATTTTCAATAGTTTCACGTGATAATGTTCTTAAATATTCAAACTATTTGAAAAATGAAGAATCAAATAATTTAGAACTGTTTTGGAAAACAGTTCTAAATTATTTGATTCTTCAGAGACAAAGCGGCTCAACTAAAAAAGAACAACAAGCTTTACATCAAGCGCCCATGAGAAATTCTAATTTAATTTTACTAACTTTTTAAAATAACAATGTGGCCCATTTACTAGTGGATCAGATGTTGGTGAATATATTGTAAAAGAGCAATATCTGATAAAAATCGATTAAAGAAAGAAGTATCTTATTTTAGAGATACAAGTAGGTCATATGATTGTTGATAAAAATGATTGTTGATAAAAATATAAAAAAGCGACGTCTTATGTCTATTGAAGAAAATGCTACTAATTTAAAGGTTCTACTTGGAAAGTTGTCACAGCAATCCAAAATCACCTTTGATGACTTTCACCAAGTTATTTTGCACTCTTAATGGGAGTTTAAACAAATGATTATTAATGTAATTAATAATCATGCAATTTTTTGTGTTATTTATAACTAGGCATATTGATTACATATTTTATTAACAAAATGATAAAAAAAATTTACAATGTGTTTTACATTGTTTATATTTGAAAATAAAGTTATTTTTATGATAATTACTTTTATTAATGATGCTAAACTAGTTATAAAAACAAATAAGTCATTATCTTAGGCACTGATTTAATATTTTAGAAAATCATTCAAGTTGCATTTTTCTGGTTTTATATTATAAACAGTTATGAAATGTCTGATAAAATATTAAAATGGGTTATTAAACTAAAATCTAAAAAGTAAATGTTACAGAATTATGAGATAACAAAGCAAGAGATTCTTCTCTCGCTTCTCCTCCCCAAATAAAATAAAAAGCAACATTAGAGCTTCAGAAAGATGAAAACTATAACAAACAAAAACATAAATGGTAAAAGAACCTTTTTCACAGCCATGTGAGCCAGAAAACAATGAACAGGCAAAAAAGAAAAATAAATTTTCTGTAATCGCTTCAGAGAGAAATGAAAAGCTGTATTATACAACAAAAAACATTGACAAGAGAATAAGTCACAGAAACACAGAGCAAACCTATTGGCTGAGAAACTAGATGAACACAGACAAAGGATTATTGCCAACAAAAAACTATTGTAAAGAAAGATTTTAAAACTGAACATGTCAACTTCTGAACTGTTAAAAATAATCACACGAAGACGCAAAAATAAGAAAAAAATTTTTCAAAATGCATAGAGATCAAAAAGCTGGAAAAGTATTATAATTAGAATCTGCTGCCAATGTAGCAATAAATGTATTAACAAATATAAAGAAACTTCTATTATCAAAGAAATATTTTGAAGGAAAAAAAGTTAGAATTGCACGCTTAAAATTAGCAAAAAATTTGAAAAGAAAAAATTTGAAAAAAAAAAAAAGATTAAAGGAGCTGAGAAAAGCCAAAACTTGTATATATAAATATTAAAAAAAAAAAATGGAACAAGCTTACAAATAAAAAGCAACTCTTTCACCAGGTTTACACATAAAATATGGTAAAATTTACAAGAAAAAACTCATGGAAAAACTACAGGGTGAACATAGAAAAAAACTTTTATTTAAAGAAGTGGTTGTTTTTCACAAGTTAATTGGAATAGCAATTAGTTTGTTCATCTAGAAAATGTTTAAAAAAGTTGAAGTATTGAATATGAAAAAAAAAAAAAAGAACCGTTCTTGGAATTTGATTGAAGGAACCAATGTAGATTTTATTATTTTTGCATTTAAAAACAACAGAATTTAATGCAGATAAACAGAAACAAAAAAACAATAGCAACAAAACACTCCAGAAGCTGAAGAGAATTTGTACCACAATTAGTTGCGATATGAATAAAAGAGATTGCATGAGCTAATGTAAAACTTGTGAAAATAAAGAAATTTCTATATGCTTAGGGATCATCTTATAAATTACAGAATGTAAAATATTTAAAAAAAGGAAGTAGGGAGATTGACAGTTATTTTGACTGCTAGGGAAAACCTTTAATCTTTTATTTTTGGTCATTAGTAAAATTTAACATTGCGTGATTTATACATTCCCTTTTTCAAAAATTAGATGAAAACAAGAAAACTTGTAACAACAAATGGACTAAAAAGCTGATCAAGTGAAAAAAGAAAAAAATCATTTTTATGAACAAAGCAACAATCAAAACAACAAAGCAACAATCAAAAGCCCAAATCTACCAATGGGCTTGCACAATTTAAAGAATAAAACAATAAAACCATTGCTTTAGGTCAATTATCAATAAAAAATATTAAAATTTACAAAATGGCATTCTTATTTTATTACTCCAGCAAGAGTTCAATTTCATCCAAAAGCAAACTTTATCATAAAAATATCATAAGACTTTATCATAAAAAAGTCCCTAAAAACAATTCATACTTCTGGCAAATACAACAAGGATATCATAAAAAAGGCTAAAAACTTTAGCATGCTCTCTTTTATTTTAACAGTTCTTAATACTTTATGAAATCAATTAGTATTTTCTTTAATAAAAAAAAATAATTTTTCATTTTTTTTAAATAAAAAAATAACTTCTAAAATATAATAAATAATAATAATAAATAATAATAATAATAATAAAATAATAATAATAATAATAATAATAATAATAATAATAACAATAGTAATAATAATAATAAAAAGTTGCATAATTAAAATACCTAGCTTTTGTTGAACATTTTCATAAATGTGTCTTGCAATTTCTAATGATTTATCTGCTTGATCAGAATTATAACTTTCATGAGGAATCTTTGGAAACCTCCATTGATTTGGGTATCTCAGTTTTAAAGAGGAACCGACAAGACCTTCTAACTCAGCAGCCCAATTTTGCAATTGAATGTCCAAACCTCTGGCATTTTCAATTAATGAGCATGATTTGATACTTTTAAAATCAATCAAATATTGCGCAGATTTTAATGATTTTTCGGCTGCCTTCAAAAAAGTAAACACTAATAAATTGTTAATGTATTCAAAAGTTCATTTAGAGAATAACAATAAATAAAATAAATAATAGTACTATTAATATATTGATTTTTTTAAAATAAGTTTTAGCAAGGTTCAGCATACCAAATATAAGTTACAAAAATAGAGGTGCACATACACACACCCACATACACATATACATTAATATGCAAATCAAGGAATAATTAGTTAAGTAAACATAGTTAGATAAGTAAACATTTTTTTTGTTTAAGTATAACACAAATACTAGGCTTATAAAGTTATATAAAGTAAAATAAACTTCTAGTTGCTAATTTATTTACTACTAAAACCTATATATAAATATATATATATATATATAGGTTTAATATATATAAATATATATATATATATATATATATATATATATATATATATATATATATATATATATATATATATATATATATATTTATATATATAAAACCTGTATATATATATATATATATATATATATATATATATATATATATATATAAAAATAAATATATATATATTTTTATATATATAAAACCTATATATATATATATATATATATATATATATATATATATATATATATATATATATATATATATATATATATATATATATATATATATATATATATATATATATATATATATATATATATATATATATTTATATATATTAAACCTATATATATATATATTTATATATAGGTTTTAGTAGTAAATAAATTAGCAACTAGAAGTTTATTTTACTTTATATAACTTTATAAGCCTAGTATTTGTGTTATACTTAAACAAAAAAAAAATGTTTACTTATCTAATTAAGGATTTAATGTTTTTATCTGCATGTATATTTTTAGTTCCATTTACATTTTACTATTTATAATATAGATTGTTAATAATATCAGTATTTTGATTCTACAGTTTTTTAATTTTTTTAATTGATTTGCTTAGCAAGTTGCAAAGCTTTTGATTGAATAAAAAATTTAGTAAACTTTTATTTACATAAACTAAGGTTGTTGTTAATTGTTGCTCAAGGATGTTGTTTATAAATGTTAAAAAGTATTGCTAAACAGAACTTTGATAGAAAACTTTTTGTTATTGCTTTAATTTATTGATTTGCAATCTTTTGTTTCGGACTGTTTTTGTTCTATACTTTGGATTGTAGTTGTTCTATGCATTTATTGTGTACAACTGCAGTCTAAATTCAAAGTTCTGTTGAATGAAACAAAGCAGGATGTTATTTTTTATATGTAATTTTTTCTTGCTTTTTTTACTAATGTTTTACTAATAAATTTTAATAAATTTCTAGGTCATTTTTGGCTATTAAAGCTTTGTTTTTGACATATTTTTTAAAATATATTTTGTTATTTCTTGCTATGTAATGTGTTTGTTAACCAAAATTTTTTATAGGTATTTATATTAAAACAAGTTTTTGTAAATGTATATTTTTTATTATGTGAAAGTGTATGTTTTGTTTTTAAGTTTTGTAAAAAGCCAAAAAGCATATATAGATATATAATTATTTTTATTATTTCTTAAAAATCTAGGAAGCATCACAAATTTATTTATAAACGTGTCATAATTGTTTTAAAATTGTCATCTAACTATGCAATGCACTACTTATCAAAAAAATGCTGGGCTGCGCAACCAGTCTTAAATACTTTATTGTTATATATTTTTTTATTTCTTTAGTTTTTTTTTTGGTTTGTCTACTGATAATACATAGTTAAAATTTAGTAAATTTTTATGATTTGAAATTATACTTTGTTAATCATAAGGAAAAAAAATGAATGAACTTTAGTCATTGTAATTTCTTTAAATGCAATAACTTGAAAGTGCAATGCTGTCTTTTAGTGAGGGTTAAAATAGGGGAAAGACGCCTATGATGACATACTGGTCATAAATATTGGTTATGGCGAAAAAGTGATTAGACCAACATATCTATACTGACTTTACATTAATTTTAGTAAAAATCTCTTACTAATAACAAATATTACTTTTGTAATCAACAAAAATTGATTATAGGATGTGCTGTTGTATTTTTAATCCCTTTTAATATTTTAACTTGTGATTTTATTATTAACTGTGCAGAAATGAAATTTTCATGCATTTTATTTCCAAGTTTTGTGCATTTAGTGGAATACTTATTTTATCCTATTTTAGAATATTGCGTAGTGACTAAGATGGCACAACAAGAGAACCAATCTCTTATACAAATTTGGTTATTAGTTAAATTTTTTTTTTGGTAATTGTTTTTTTCTTACACTTTTCTAAATTGGCACAAAAATATTTTTAATTATTCTTATAACATAACATATAATATAGACTATAATATATAAAGTAACCAGGGCAATTGTTGCAACAACAGCAACAACAGTAGAATCAGTTGCAGTAGCATAAGCATTTACAACAGCAACAGCTAAATTGATTTGTGATGTGTTATATTTACTACTTTCATCTTTACATATCATAATGGCTTTTTTTCATTTTAGATTTATCTTCGTTTTTTTTTTTAGTGAAAAAACATTTAATTAAACTTAAGCTATATGTTAGCTTAAATCAAGTAATGTTTGTAGGCTCACAGTGCCGACATCCAAATAATTCAGTTTTTAAAACCAAAATTAAAAACAAAAACAATATAATAAAAACAGTATGAAACAATAAAAAATAAAATTCTTTTTGATTAAAAAACAAACACCACACTTACTAACAATAAATTGTGTTTTTTAAAAACAATTATATTTATTTAATTTTTTATTCAATGTTTTTTTCATAAAGTAATTCAGAACATGATGACTCAAATACTATAAAATAATAGAATATATAAATATTAAGGTTATTTAAAAACATTAAAATATTTTAATATATAATTATTTAAGTTATTTTAACTTTACTTTTATCTTGTAAAAAAAAAACAAATCAGAGTATGAACATAATTGTTCTAAATTGTTCTGATGTCACATGCTTAGTCGGTATGCGGGAGCGAACACTCTCGATTACTGACCACGGAAATAATACTTAGTTGCAAAAAACTGGCCAGATTTTTTAGTCATTTTGAGAACAATGCAAAAAGCAAAAAAAAAAAATGCGCAAGAGATTAATTGGACTGATGTAAGACGATTACAAGAAAAAAAAATTAGTAAAAAAAAAAATCTTTTAACGCAAAAAAACTTAAAGCAAAATAAATTACTTTTAGAACAAATATTTTAGAAACATCGTTCTTTTATAATGTTTTATAAAATTAAGTTTTTTATATAAAATAACATCTTAAGATTGTTTAAAAAGGAAACAAATTTTCTTTATTTAACAAAGTGAAATTTAATTTTTATTCATGTACTTGTGTCTTATTTCCAGTGCTAGATTAAAGAGGGTTGGGGTTAGAGAGGGCTATAGCCCCTGACCCCGCAATGTTAGGGCCCCAAAAAAATCAAGAAGACCTTTGTGTTTAGCCATTTTAACGCTGTGGCACATAAAAAGGCATCCAAAATAAAAATAGCCCCCGGCCCCAAAAAGTCTAACAAGATTCTAATAAAACTAACGCTAGTTTTAGTTTTGTCTAAGCTAAATTATTTTATAAATAAAAAGTTAGTTTTTTTAATCACTTTATGCTTCGCATAGTTTGAAAAGTTTAACATATTTGAAACAATTCTTTTTAGTAAAATGAACAAATGAAATAATTAAGTCACTGAATTATTATAGAAATTAAATTAACTAGACAGAAATCAATTAAAAATATTATGGCGAGGAAGCGAAATTGCTTAACAATATTGCTGGTGATGTTTAGTGAGTGGGTTTTTTAATTTTAATTAGTTTTTAAAGCAGAAAAAAGTATAATGAGTTGAATTCTTGTCCAATCAATCACAAGAAAAATATTATTATTGAACAGATGTTAAGTATGAACTCATTAATTTTTATTGGTGAAAAAAAGTATTCTCCTGATATGGTTGCTAGGACATTTGAGTACTTTTCATTGTCAAGAACTCTTTACTCTCGATTACCTGATGACTACAAACTACCAAGTATATCTTTGATGACAAAGTTGACATCTAAAGTTAGAAATATTGGAGATGATGATTTTTTTAAGTTGTATTTTGAAAAATGTTCTTTATCTCAAAGACAGGTTTACTATTTATTTACTAATTGATGAAATTTATGTTAAACCCCATTTAACATATCAAGGAATTAACATTTTTGGTAAATCTGTAAATTTCTCAAATAAGTTAGCAAAACAGTTTTGGGTTTAATGATTTATTCTTTATTTGGTGAAAAACAGTTTTTGTATGAAGCAGTACCAGTAACAGGTTTTGATGCTAATTTTCAATACGATCAAATAGTGAAAACAATTAGAGCGATAAAAAAATGTAATGTTTCTTTTGTTGCTATTCTTTGCGACAATAAGAAAATAAATAAAAAGTTTTTTGGAATGTTTAATCTCCGTAATACTTGGTGCACTAATGATAACATTTTTCTTCTGTATGACTTAGTTCATTTATTAAAATCTACTCGCAACAATTGGCTCACAGAAAATTCCCAAGAACTATGCTTTACTTACAAAGGTATTTCAAGAAATGCAAAATGGTCAGATCTTAAAAAACTTTTTCTATTTGAAAAAGATGCTATTGTGAAAGTGTCTAAACTTAATGAAACAGCAGTTTTTCCTAAACCAATTGAAAGTCAAAACGTGTCAACTTGTTTAAGAGTATTTTGTGATGAGACTGTAGCTGCTATAAAAACTCATCCATCCATAAAAAATGTTGAAGACACCACAGTGTTTGTTTCTATTTTTATCAAATTTTTTAAAATTGTTAATGTTAAAGGACTTTATAAAGATATTTGTACTAGAGATAAATATCGTGCTGTTTTTTCATCAAACAATGATAAACAATTGAGCTTCCTTTTAAATTTGGCTGATATGGTCAAAAAAATGGCTCCTGAAAAACAAAGTCATAGACTAAAAAATTTAACCAAAGATACCTC